AAATATTGATCAAGTCGATACGCTCGACAAGTGTCTGCCAACAAAACCGTACTTTTAACTGAATATTGGCCACGGAAACAAAGTTTGTACACATTGTAGAGCCACGCTGCAGCTAGCTATATTAAAGTCGCAGCACGATTGGGTCGGCCAGACCCAGATTTGACATTAATAGAATATGGCGTCTCAAAATGGCGTCCGTAGGCAGAGTAAAAATTGCGACGGTAGCGCCAAGTTGCGTAGAATGGAACTAAGCTGTCACGGGCCTGGCCAGACCGGGGCAGGACCATGCTCACACAGAATTGCAGCGTAAAATAGCCACGTATTTATATATTATATTCTATTTTATAACGTACGGTGCTTGTAGAGAATCGGAGACCCTTTTTACTTGAATCAAAACATTCCATCTTTGTCCTCAGGGGTGATAACGAATTTGCATTTTGATATCTTAATTGAGGATAAATATGGATGTCTATGGGCCACAGCATCCACTTACCGTCAGGTGGACGGTGTGCTCGTTTGTCGCCCAATGCTATAAAAAAATACACATACAGCACATATACATATAACGGAGGGGGCTTTCGTGAACTGTTAGGCCCACCACATTCATTTGGTATTCCGTTTCGGGATGCCGTTTCGGAATTCCGATTTGGGATTCTGATTCGGGATTCCGAACGCATCAAGTCCGTATAAAATCAATGAATGACCCGTCACACACCTAAGGCAGTTTTCCGTACGAAATTTTGCGGGCAAAACGGGATTCTGATACCGTACGTGTGTGGCCATCCCGTTCGTTCTGTATGTAGTGTGGCGAGGCTTAAAAATAAAGAGAGAAATAAAAGCGATAAAATATGAAGTTTCCCTAGTCGATGTAATTTCACACCAGCTGTTCAGAAAATAATCCGTTATCGTCACACCTTCACAAAATAACGAGTCATACCTTTTTACTTCTTTTTTATCAAGCACTGATAGTGTAATTATGGACATGCGCTTCTTCCTATGTTGTAAAGTTTTGCTACGCATAACAAGCGGAAATGCCCAGAGGCCTTAAGGTCTTTTTCCCCTTTTAAATGGTCAGCAACACGCTCGAAATTGAACGGATGATGGGTTCTCTTAAACCGCCACCACACGGCAACTCGAATAGAATGTGAGGAAAAAAGTATTGCGTTTAAAATAAACGTGGACTATTATATTATCACTGCAATCTTTTTCTTTTAAATAAAAATATTTGCAACGCAAAGACTTTGGTCGTACATCCTTGTCGTTATATTGTAATAACATGGTTTCTGTTCATTTCAATATGTTTATCTTTATTTTAATTTTCGTAAATCCGTGTACGGACTAAGCGTTCCAACTTTCAATGGACGCGTAGTCGGTAACGCGTACTTAGGAACGCTAGTTCGTACTTGCAGCAACACGTATATACTTTGAGCAGGTGTGGAATCGCGGCGAGTAGTCGTACGTCGGTTTTGGTTGCACAATGAGAAGTGTCACAGTGGTGGTACCAACTCGCGACTTGTCACCACGCGTTCATAATCCCGCAATGGTTAAATATGCCCTGTACGCGTATTCAACATACCCAGATTGCGCTTACGTTGAACCGTTTAGTCCGTAGAAGACCTCAAGTCTTTTTAATATTATTGATTGGTTTAAGCAAACCGGATATAGACGCAAAAGTTTTTTACATCAGCATCCGGTTGTTCGTAAATGAATTAAGGTCCCAGGTGAGATTATTTTTGACACCACACAACTGCTGAATTATTTCGAAATTGTATGTTTCTCAATTTTGTTATGGTCAAATAAATAAGTTCGTTTCGTTATAATTACTAGACAGATAAAAAAATGGTGCGCCCTCCTTTCTGCCAAGGAGAGTCGGGTTCAATTACGGCTTAGAGATCTCTAGTCAGATCGTTAAGCCAGTTCCTAAAAGGTTGGGTTTAGTGGGTAAAAGTCACCACATAACTACGCAGCCGGCTGCGTGGTATGCTATTAGCATTCCCAACCTCCCTCCCCCGCTTTCCGGAGGGTTGTCCATATTTGCTTCGGGCGCAAAAAAAAACAGATAAAAACAACAAACAAGAAGAGCTATACAAAGTAAATATCATGTTATCTCTTTCAAACATTATACATACAGAAACGTCGTAACTACAAAATGTTATAAACGCTCGTTAAAATGGTCGTCATACGTCAAGTCGTTTAGCGGCACAACGTACAATGTAATCCCGAAAAGCGCGCATCGTCAGTAGTCACGTGAAGTCGCATAATGTAATAGGGATTTTACGAGCGCTTATACAATACAACCTTTTGTACCGACGAAGGCGTATTGTAACTGTACGTTACTTTGTTATAGAACCTTCAACATTGGAAGTTCCATTTTTTTTTAAAAAAAAAAAGGATATTTTGACCATGCTAAAACATGATCATTGTGAATTCGATATTTAATATTACATATTCGTCGGCACATTGCATGACGAACAATAAATCAAACCGTTTGGTTTAAATACGATAAGTCGAAAGCGAAAGGGTGGAGAATAGCCTAGCGTCTGGTTATCCGATAGTGGAAGGGAAAGGGAGAAATTAAATTATGCAATTACTGTGCAAACTCTCCGAAACGTATGTGTCTTGTGCCTGAGAGTGATGACACTGGTTTTAACCAGATTCGGATCACCAATGTCCGTCAATCAGATATGCCGCAACTAAGTGCTAGAATAACCTTCCACCGCCTCTTCGAAATTATCAATTTAAAATGTATGTTTCAGTGCGTATAATTGTCATTATTTTTCCTTCATACGTCACGGGTGTACAATCTAATTACACTATTTTCTTTCCATTGCGCGCGTAGTGTTAGCGCAGGTTCTGTGATAAAACATGCTAAATGTAAAAGTAAATGTTATGTTGAACATATATCTCGGGTTGCTATTGTGTATAAGTGTTTTTATATGAAATTTAAATTATTTTTATATCCGCGGTTCCAGTTATGCAATGAAATTAACATTCATAAACATCCAGTATAGCACTACAAAGATAAGGAAGTTGTGGCCCAAAAGTAAATATAAAAAGAATATTAAAAACCTACCAATCGTGTATATACTTGCATTATTAATCCAAATAAGTATATATTATATGTGCCCGTATATATAGAAAATATGTGCCCGTGTGTGTATGTGTATGTATGTTATCCGTATGTATACATTTATGTATGTATGTGTATATATGTATGTATATGTAATGTATATATTATATGTGTGTGTATCTATATAATGTTAAGTACATTCACACCCGGCGTCATGGGGGTGGAAAATTGTTACACGGACACCGGGGTGGGTCATCCTTACCCATATTTTTGATTTATAATATTTCAATAATTTTAAAGCAAAATATTTATTTCTTGAATAATGTAAGTTTTTTGTTAAAAGATTTAGCAAAAAAAAAAACAAAAATATTAATTACAACTACTAAATTACTTTTATTAAACTTCTTTCCAAAATAACTAAAAAAAATCAACAGTTTAATCACATTTTACCTAAACTAACAAAAATAATAATTTTTTTATCAGTCTTGAATGTACTTTGCATTTTTAGGAACTAAGATTATGTGTCTTTTGAGAAACAATCAATAATTTTAATCAGACTCATCATTGTCGAAGCAGTCAGAGCATAAAGGTAGGACGTGCTCGGGGCAAATAAATTTGTTGCATTTTTTTACATGTATGGGTTGTTTTGCGGTCTTTCTTTGCTGGGCATACCTGACATCTCCTGCGAACATTGCTCTTTTTTGCTGGAGGTTCTGCTGAAGTTTCGCCAACGAATCGACCGATCTTTTTTCGCATTTCTCGAGGCAATTGCACAACGTCTTTGCGTTTTTTCATATGATCTCCCACAAGAGCTAGGCCTAAGTTTTTCAAGAAGCGGCGGCGTTTTATATTTGAATTATTATTTACTCGATGTATTATAAGCCCATTGATAGCTGCCATGTTCAGTACTGCATAAAAAATGGTCATGGTCCACCTCTTCGAATTACGACTCACGTCATACGTGGCACATAGTTCATCGACTACATCCACGCCACATTTGGTGCAGTTGTAATACGTGTTGATTTCTGGTTTTTTCTTTTCTCCAGTTGAAACATCAATAGCGTCATCGTGGTGCAAGCTTGATATCAGTAAAACGACCTTATTTTTTTTAGGAACATGGGAAACAATGGTACAGTCTTTTTGGAAACCAAATCGAGACGCATACACCTCCGTTCCACGTGTTTTAGTAAATTCCGGAGGGATTTGTCTCTTGTTCTTACGTAACGTGCCGACAGATGTTAGTTTGTGATGCTGGAGCAAATGCTGGATAGTTTCGTAGCTTGTAAACCAATTGTCAAAGGTTACATTACAATTGGTTTTAGATATGGGCTGTACAATGCGATCTACGACATCGAACGGTTTGTTGCTCTGAGAGTATGGGCCTTCAGGTTGTTTTCCTGGATATATTTCAAGGTTCTTGATATAAAACTTTTCGGAATCTACAAGAGCAATAATCTTTATGCCATATTTAGCTGATTTCGAAGGTATGTATTGGCGAAATTTACATCGGCCTCGAAAAGCTATAAGCATTTCATCGATTGTTAGACATTCCCCTGGGACATAGTTTTTTTTACAATTCTTAACAAAAATGTCAAACAGGTCCCTTATAGGTGCTAAGTTATCTAGTGCTTTCCTTTCTTCACGAGTGGAAATGTCATCAAAAGGCAAGCAAGCTTGGATAAAATGAAAACGCTGTTTTGACATAACAAGACCAAATATTTCCACTCCCGTACCATCAGTAGCCCACAAATCACTCAAATTTTGCCTCCCAGAGCGGTTTAGTCCAGCAATATACAAAAGCCTTAAGAAAGCTTTTAATTCAGCCATACTGCATTCTTTTATGTGGGTATACTTAGATAAATTCTGACAAGATAAAATTTTAGGTCTAATACGTGCATTAGTATATCTGAAAACATTTTCTAGCATATCTTCAGTACAAAAAAAGCGACCAGCAATCTATTTCAGTCATAGCAGATTGCGCCACAGAAGCTGCACCTGGGCGTTGCGTTACAATATTTTCAGCTCTGATCCGAGTATTTTGACGGAACGGTGTCTTGTACCAAACCGTTCCGTCTTTGCCAAGATAATGTGGAAGTTGTGACTCACGATTTGTTGTACGGGATTCCTGTTGCACATAAGGATTTGCCTCAATATTATCAGAACGTGCTTGGTTTCGAAGCATGGACAACGGGATACTGTCATCATCGCTATCTGAGGCCTCTTGTTCCGTGTCACTCTCTTGACTACGTTCACTCACATGGTCTTCTTCAGCTGATTCTTGGTCACACATATCCACATCCGAATCCGATTCCTCAAGAACTGCCATTAGCCTATGACGTAATCTTTCTTCTGGGTCCATTTTTGCGAACTACCTACAAAAAAGTAAAACTCAAACTAAATATTTATTCGACAAACATGCGTTTGAATTTCATCATAAAAAGTATAAAACACATTATATTTATCGAAAAAACAACTTAAAATTTTCATCATAAATATGGCGCGAAATTGTTACATTGACTACAGGGATGGGTAAAACTCAAACTAAATATTTATTCGACAAACATGCGTTTGAATTTCATCATAAAAAGTATAAAACACATTATATTTATCGAAAAAACAACTTAAAATCATCATAAATATGGCGCGAAATTGTTACATTGACTACAGGGATGGGTCATATTTACCTTTTTCTACTTTGCACACGCGTACACACTAACGCAGACGCCGCCCGACTGATTGCTTGTCACGAACGGTTAGAACATATCAATAACTCCAGCTACTGAAAGGGACAGCACTATCCAATATATAGTAAAAGACTTATACGTAAATCAAAACTCGTCGGGTAATTTTGACCCAACCCCCATGACGCCGGGTTAAGGTAGCCACTGAAAATCAGGGCTAGGATGATACATCTTAGCCTTTCTATTCCCATTTTAAAAAAAGTTTTTTTTAGTTAGCTGTTCTTTTTTTTAAGTTTGTGTAAGTGTATAATTAAGTCTACTTATAAGAATACCTAAACATAATGTATGTTTTGAGTATTTATTGCTAATTTTTTAAGAAATGGCCAAATAAATATCTCTTTCTTTCTTTCAATGAGCCTCTTAGCACGCTTTCCATTGAGTGCAAATCTGCTAAGAATACACCAAGCACAACTACTGAAAGCGGTCGGTGTGTTCCATTGATACATTTCGGAAAGAAGGAGCCAAGATGAACTGTGTTTTGGAGATGTTGAACGTCCTCTCTATACACACCTTATATTAAATAACATTTTGTATAAACTCCAAGCTCGTAATAAATCCGTGAAATAATCATTTATTAATAGATACAGAGATCGATCCATGACACGAGCGATAAGAGGCGACCCGCGTCGCTAATGACTGTTGTCGTATTTTAATGAACTTACCGACACTGCAAAGCTTTTAAGGCTTCGTAGCGCGGCTCGACTTCTAAATTATTTCCTACCGTTAGGCAATCGAGACTACATTAATTTTATGGCATACTTGCTTTTGCGTAGTTTTATATGAACACTTTGTGCGTTGGCTTTTATTCCACCAGGGGAGGATACGAACTACATTGAAACAAGTGTTTTCAACGGCAAGATAACTGATATATGATTTTATAGAAATTCTAGAAAGTAACAGCCTTATGTATTATATTGGCTGTTACTATTGGCGACATTAGGTTATAGCTATTTTGATTATAAATTAATAATACGGATAATTAGTCTGAAATAAATTAATTACTATTAACATATATTAGCTATCCGTTCCGGCTTCGCACGGGTAATTTCTGGATCTCGACAACAGCCCCTACCAGGTCAAATTATGAATCTAAACCTTCCAGGGGCCCACTTAAACAAACACAAAAAAAATTATCTAAATCGGTCGAGCCATTTTTGAGTTTTAGCGAGACTAACGCACGACGAATTATTTTAAAATATATATATATATATATATATATATATATATATATATATATATATATATATAGATATACTTTCCTATATCCTTAGATATATGTGTATTTGCGCAGGTCCGAAGGGTCCTGAGATCCGAAGAGAAATGGGCCTCTCTTGTAGAGAGGATAGAGACAGATATTAACGACCGAAGTACGTTATATAATTTACAAGTCTCTAGTGAAAATGCTTTTTACACAGTATATTTTTTCATTAAATATGCATTACCGTTACATTAAAGTACAATCTTGGACACAGAGCTAACCCATAGGTTGCCTCGCTCATGATCGAATATTTGTCATAGTTGACACGGTTGCCAACCGCAGTTTTATTTTTATTTTTAATCGTTATTAGAAAGACGCTGCTGCCCAACATCATCATGATCATCATCATCATCTGTTTCCCTCTGTCGCCTCTTACGACACCCACGGCCCACTGGATGATGTGGGATAGCGGATATTCTTACACCACCACTACACTGTTATTTTGTTAAAGAAAACGACTTAAGAGGTGAGAGTAAGTCAGCTCAAATTCTAATTTCGCCCCCACTTCCCCGCGCGTCGTATGCTATGTACCGACATGTTTGTAATCACTAATACTCTAAGTAGATAGGTCGTTAGATACTTATTTCATTATGTTTATCATATATATGCCTGTTTCTTAACGCCAACCCAGTCGCTTCTTATTTTTATAACGGTTATTTCCCATTTTAATTTTACGTCTTCCTGTTGCGTAATGTGTTTTCTGATCGTAAGCGACACAACTTCTCCCTTCAAAAGTCGGAGCAATACTAACGGAGCGACAGGAACCAAGCTTACGCGCCGATAGTTTAGGTAATTTCTTTTTACAGTGAAAATAATGATATTTAAAAAAAAGTAAATAACATAAGCACTGCTTTATGGTTAGTTCAGTTAGTATGCAAAGTTTCATGATCTTATTTAAAGTATTTTATGAATAACAGCGGTTTATTGTTCAGTTTGGAGGTAACTTTGAATTTTTTTTCTATCGAGAAAATTTTACGGAATCGTGTTTTCGTCTAACATAAACCTTAACATTAATCCTCAACTTTACCATATATTTATTTCAAAATTAATGCTGCAATACTTTCGGCATAACGGAGGATCTTGCTAAGCCATTTGAGGTTATATTTCCCCTTAACAAAGTTTCAACTTTAACACCTCGGAACGTCTTGTCTAATGTTGTTAAAGATAGCGCATAGATGAATGTTAAGCACAGAACACATGGCTCATGACAGTGCTTTGTGGCAATTTATGGGCGAGCACTATGTTCAGCAGAGGACTTGCGATGGGCTATAATCATAATGATGGTAATGATGATGATGACGTTGATGCTGTATGTAGTAAGAGTAGAGTACATAGATAGAAAAATCCTTAACTGGAAAGTGCAGTGAAGGGTAGATCTTTTTTTTTTTTGTTCGAATGCTATGTATAGCCATTCAAGGAGGAAACGCAGCCAGCGTTCTTGGTACTAGGTACAGCAAGGGGAGTAGCACTGAACGATAGTTAAAGTTTTTAGCTTTAGTTTTTTTTTGTCTATTGTCGTAATTAATACTAAAAAGTGAAAATTATAAATGCCAGACATTCATATAAAATCTTAAATCAAATTTAACATTTAATTTGTAACAGACATTTCTGTGTTTGCGCGACTTTAGTAGAGTCATTAGTTATAATAATGAATAATTTTTAAATGTCTGTCAAGAAAAATAACATGTAAGTGACCGCTACGCTCGCAGCAGCCGAAAACATCGTGATTTGAATACAGTATTAACAAAAATGCGAGATAATCTCCAAATCCACTTTTAGTATTATTTAATAAAAAGTTATGGCCTGACACAGATGTTCGATTTTCGACTACAGCGACAAACCTAATATAATCGAAAAATTTTTCCTCCACGTAGGACATATTATAGTACGTCCAATGTACGTGCAAATTCACATAACTGAGCGCCTCGTTGGTCTAGTGGTTGCAGTAATGTGATTGCTGATCATGAGGTCCCGGGTTCGAATCCAGTTTTTGGAGTTTTTCCGTAGAGATATTCTCAGTAGCTGCCCGGAGTCAGAAAAATTGGCAGTGTCTCTCACCTATGTGCCTCGAAAACACGTAAAGCCGTTGTTCCTGCGACTGATCTCTCTCCGGTTGTGTCGGTTTACCGTCCCATTGGACTATGAGAGTGAGGGAATGGAGAGTGCACCTGGGCTTGCGCATACACTTGGGCAGGCAGGCCGTCGTGACCGACATTCGTTCTAGAGGACATTATGAAACACATCATTCAAATACAAATACTTTTATTTCTGTAACTCAAACTAAACAAGCATGAATATGAGTTAGGAGACTCGACTGACTAGTCTTACTAACTCCTCTTGAATATTAATGCCGTCGTAGTGCTGTCACCGCGCCAAAATTACGAAAACGTACCGAACCAGAACCGAAATCTAAATCACGCTATTTAAATTATAATATATGTAATTATATGTATTATAATTTAATAGCAATAGTTTTAATTTAATTGTAACTTAATAATAATAATTTGAATTTAATTATAACTGAATAATAGTAATTTATACATTTACTTTATATGTGACACATTGTGTTGGTTTAACAATTTAATAAGATTAGTATATTAAATTATAATTTAACTTAAATTTTGTATGACAACATTTTTGGATTTGATTATTCGTATTATCAAAAATATTTAATTTCGAGTTTATATAATATCAAGGTATTTAGTATGACAACAATTAGCACTATAGACTCGACTATTGACAATATTTTTTTGTTCTTATTCTTAATTTTATTTCAAAGCACCATTATTGAATTAGTAATGCGTAGACTATATTGTAAAGTATTTGCACACCTCATAAGGTAATAATACAGTGTACATATTCTAATTTTTTTGTAACAACTCTTATACCTGTATTATGCAAATAAATGAATTTGATTGATTGATTGAAGTTTATGAGCTTACAACTCTGCTTTATACATATTGAAAACCTAAATTACAACACAAGGCCTTGTCCGATACCCCTTCTTGGGTTGAATACCATGTCCGACGGGAGAGCTTAAATTTTCTAACGGCCAAATAATGTATGCGATAGGGTCGAGGGTAAATTTTAAAATATCGTAAGGACACCGTCATTCAATAGTGAAAGTGACGTGGTGGTAATCAAAGCATCAACAAGTTGTATGTTTACACAAATATTAGCTCTAACTTACGTTATTTCCTCCTAGATACATAAGCACTTTAAATTAACAATTTCATTGGTGCTGGAGGAAATTAAACTCAGGTTGCTAAGGTGAAATCTTTGCGAGCGTTTATCGCATGAAACACTACAGCCTAACTTCGCAAAGCTTAAAAAGAATTTAAAAACATTTGAAAAATATTA